GGTCTCAGGCCACGCCGGGCTGTCTTTGTGCTGCGGGGCCTTCTCAGCACCGTGGCCTGATTCCAGGGGCTGAGAGAAGCCTCCCCATCATGTCCTGAGCTCCAGGATGCTGCCCATGCCTGGCACCTACATCCAGGTGCCTCCGGCCTCTGCACACCCACCTGTCCTCCACGAAGAGCCAGGGCGGGCACCAGGAGCCTCTGAGTCATTAAAGATGCCAGCGGGGCATCCAGGAAAGCTTCCTGGGGGAGGTGGCACCAGTGCTGAGCCTAGGGGATGAGTGTGGTCTTCCTCCCTGGTCTGGGTCCGAGGCCAGCAGGCACGTCTCCCATGGACCGAACCTTCCAGAAACTCTCTCGGGCCGTTTGTGCCTGGCTTCCATCCATATCCAGGGGCAAGCCTCAAGGACTCCCAGCCCTCAGCTGACCACTTGGGCTGGGAGGGGCTCTGCTGCCCACCGGCAGCGGGGAATCCGCAAGGAAGGGCCCCGAAGCCGCCCCTCCCAGCGAGGTGAGTGTCTGGAGCGTCAGGTGGGGAGACTGAGGCTGGGGAGAGGGGTGAGAGCTGCGGACACTCGTCCAGGGGCTGGAACCTCCCGCAGAGGGGCCGGCGCAGTTATCCCTCCAGTCAGCCCCCAGGCCACGCGCTGCCCCCGCCTCCCTGTTCTCTCCCGAGCCCGCTCCCACCGCCCTCCGCGTCCTGGTGGTGCAGCACCATCCTGCCTGCCTGCCTGCCTGGACGGGGGTCCCTCACTCCCCGGCACCACGCCCCGTCCCCCATTCTCAGGGCCTTCCGCCCTTGCTGGCAGCTCTGCGGAGCTCAGGTGCACACACCCAATGGCCCCAGGCCCCCCCACCCCTCACCAGCATGCCACCTAGCCCCCCAGGCTGATTCTCGCCGAAGCTAGCCCTCCCAGGCCCCCCTGCCCACCCGTCACCAACCCCACGGCCACCTGCCTCGGCTGGGCTCCCACAATGGCCATGGCACCTGGAGCAAGTGCTCAAAACACCATCCAGAAAATGCATCCAAATGCGTGTTTTTGAAAAGTACCACCTCCCCCACGAAAGGCCCCAGAAAGCCCCCAGGCCTCTCTCATTGCCCAACACGGGTTGTTCCAGAAGCAGAAGAGGGCAGGCCCCACCTTGCTGCCTGAACACCAAAATGAGCACATGCAGACGGTAGAGAGGAAATCAAACGTGGACGAGAAACATGTGTATGCATACACACAGCTGTGTGTATACACGTGTGTGGTCAGAGGTGTGTGCAGGCACATGTGTATGCGTGTACATATACAGTTGTGTATATATGTGCACCTGTATATAGATATGTATGCATATACAGCTGTGTGTACAGATGTGTGTACACATTTGTTCAGGTGTATGTGTATAGGTCTGTGTGTGCACGTGTGTACAGATGTGTGTGCCCATACCGATGTGTGTGCACATGTGTGTGTGCACATGTGTGTGTGCACATGTGTGCACCACAAGTACATCTTCATGTTAACTAAAACACTTCTAACCGATCCCAGCAGTGTGTTCTAATGACAGCTTGTACTTCCTAGGTCAACGTGGCTTAGCTCCATCAAGAGCCAAAGGGAGAAAAATGACATGAGTGTCTCCAAAGATCAGGAAGTGTGTTTGGCGAGTCTAACATCTATTTGTGTTTTGTTAAATCTCTTAAAAACTAGGCTTGAAAGGGGATTGGATTATTACACAGAGAAAGATAGAACTGCCTCCCCAGCTTAGGCCGACTGCAAAGATGTTGGGGTTGAGGCCACATCAGCAAGTTTTGGAAATGGATGCAAAAAAGTTGGAGAACCCAACAGAAGAAATGAGCAGGCAAATCACAGAGGGGAGAGCCGATAGGCCAGCCCATTCAGAGGAGGTCGACCCACCAGGAATCAGATAAATGCAGATTCGGACACGCTCCTGCCCTGCAGAGCAGTGGGTTCCAAGGTCAGCTCAGAGCCGATGCTAGCAGAGACTGGCCAGCAGGTTTCAGAACCCGTGCAGACCTGGGGCCTACATGGCCAGGGTCCTGGGGGCTCCGACCCGGGCCGTCTCATCCTGGGAGCAGTCAGGTCGGGGTGGCCAGGTGCCTGCCACCAGGGGAAGAGTTAGGGGGTGGAAGACGCCCCAGAATGGGTGTAGGGTATGCAGCCACACGGCCAGTGGAGGGAGGGACACACGCTGAGGCCACGGCCAAGCCCAAGCGTCCCTTCTCCGTTATCATCCTGCGAGCTGGGGCTCACTGTGCCCACCACTCTCCAGGAAATGCAGGGCTGCTCCTGCAGCCTCTGGCCACCGTGTTCTTGCTGATACGTCGACACGGAACCTTGCTTCACGTGGGCTTGGGTCTAAAGACGGCTTCCTGAGCACACCGTTGCTGGCTCGGCCTCACGGACCCCTCTGGCAGCGCCATCGCATGGCCTGGACGGAGCCCGCCCGGCACATGGGCTCCCCCGTGGGGCCCGTCCGGCCTCCTGCGCGCAGGTCACTGGGTGTGATGAGCTCTTGGCGGGGCCACGAAAGCCACAAAGTCACTCCCGGAAGCAGCGGAGCGGAGATGCGCACCGCGGGGGCAGCAAGCCGGCTCTTCCGGGGGTGGGGGCGGCGGGGGCACCGCTCCCGCAGCTCCGCGCACGTCCATCTGCGGTGCCCTCGCTGGCCCCCCAGTGCCGACGGCGCGGACAAGCGGGGCCTCGCGAGCAGGTGGGCTCGAAGAGACAGGACCCTCGAGCACTGGAAACTGCCGCGGTCCACAAACCGCGCCCCACCCTGCTCCTCAGAGCCCGCCATCACCCCGGCGGGAGAGGCAGGAGCGGCCGGCCGCCGGTGTCTGGAGGACATCCGTTTGGTGTTTTGGCAGAGACCAGCTGACTGCATCTCGAGGCTCCAGCTGCTGGACCCCAGGCCCTCAGGCTGGTTCTGCCACCCACCCTTCCCGGGGTGCTGGACCGGGGGGCTCCCTGCCCGGCCCCCAGGAAGGCGGGGAGATCCTCAGAGCATGGGCCACGGGCTATGACTCGGGGGGCCTCTGTCAGTAAAGGGAAGAAAGGGAGACTGGATGTCAGGAGATGGTGAGACAAAAGGAAACAAGACAAAATAATGATAAAGTAAAGTAAAATACGGGAGGCAGGCCTTACGCCTTCGGGAAGGAAAAGCTCCCGGAACTGCAAAGCGTGGCACTCGCTCAGCTCCACGTCTGAGGCTGGAAGAGCCACGGGCGGTGGGGGGCGAGGGGAGGAACTGGGCAGTGGGCGGAGCCCCGCGGCCTGGACCCCCGGGGGCCGGCAGGGGAGGCAGACAGGCGGGGTTCAGAGGCAGTTCCTTCCTGTCCTTTCCTGTGTAATTCAAGGTCCAAAGGACAAGCCGAGCTCTTGAGTTCGAGGTGTAACATCTCAGTGGAGCTATTTTCCAAATTGTCCTTCAGTCAGTTCAGTTCAGTCGCTCGGTCGTGTCTGACTCTTTACGACCCCATGGACTGCAGCATGCCAGGCTCCTTGTCCATCACCAACTCAAATTCATGTCCATTGAGTCGGTGATGCCATCCAACCATCTCATCCTCTCTCGTCCCCTTCTCCTCTTGCCTTCAATCTTTCCCGGCATCAGGGTCTTTTCAAGAGTCAGTTCTTCACATCCGGTAACCAAAGTATTGGAGCTTCAGCATCAGTCCTTCCAGTGAATAGTCAGGACTGATTTCCTTTAGGATGGACTGGTTGGATCTCCTTGCAGTCCAGGGGACTCTCAAGAGTCTGCTGTCCTTAATGATGGACTTCTGTTTCCTCTTGGAGTTAATGTATATTTCAGGAAGAAAGAGATGAGGTTTTTGATGGCTGAGGATGTTCCCTCCCTTCTGCTTCTGTCAGTGACACCTAGTACTGTTGTTGCATTGTAGCCAGAGCCTCAAAAGTGGCGACTTCTGTTTGAAAATTTTACAGATAGTCTTCGTGGGACACTTGATACCTCTTTCTAGTGAATGTTCCCTAGTTGCTTAAAGGGGGCTTCCCAGGTGGTGCTAGCGGTAAAGAACCCAACTGCCAAAGCAGGAGATGAAGAGACTTGGGTTTGGTCCCTGGGTTGAGAAGACCCCCTGGAGGAGGGCATGGCAATCCCCTCCGGTGTTCTTGCCTGGAGAATCCCATGGACAGAGGAGCCTGGAGGGCTACAGCCTACAGGGTCGCACAGAGTCGGACTTAGCATACACGATACAACGGCTTAGAGTAGGGGTCTTCTGAATGTCAAGTAGGAAGTTTGATGCATATATGGCTATGTTCAATTCTCTCCATATAGGTTTGTTCAAATCCTATGTACACATGTGAATTTTTATTCCCTGATCTGCTCAAAGACTGTCGTCACAATTGTGATCCTATTGTGTTTTCTATGCTGTTGGAAGGTTTTTCTTTTCGATATTTTGATACTATACTATTCTTCCCATAAAACTTAGTGTCTTCAATCTCTTCACCATGGAGTTTGGTGGTGGTAGTTTAGCCGCTAAGTCGTGTCCAACTCTTGTGATTCCATGTACTGTAGCCCGCCAGGCTCCTCTGACCATGGGATTTCCCAGGCAAGAATCTGGAGTAGGTTGCCATTTCCTCCTCCAGGGGATCTTCCCGACCCAAGGACTGAACCCGAGGCATCTGTGTCTCCTGCACTGGCAGGGGGATTCCTTACCACTGACCACCAGGGAAGCCCCACTGAGGAGCCTGCCTCGTGTCAAAGAAGTGTGTTTTTCTCCATTCTCACACTTTCCACCTTTAGTTGTACCTGGCCTGTGGATGTTTGTAAAGGCCCACAGACTCTCCTGCTCTGGAGGCAGCACCTCCCTCCCCTCCCTGGGGTGCGGCCTGGACTCGGCGGCCAGAGAGCAAAGGAGTAGGCGGCCTCCCGCCCCCGAGGCCCCCGTGGACGGGAACCACCAGGGCAGCGAGGCACCCGGAGACCCTGCCCCCCTTGAGCCTGCAGACGACGCGGGCCTGAGCCGGAAGCACGGCCAGCTGAGCCGAGGGAGTGAGTGCTGGCTTCTTCAGCGGCTGATTTGGAGAGAGCCTTCGCACAGTGGATAGTGACGAATCTAGCTAGGCGCCGTTCCTCAGCGTCAACCTCTCCTCCCCCGGGTCCATTCTAGGCTGAAACGTCAGCATTCCAGCAGGGAGCAGATGGGGCCTCCCCTTCTCTGAACCGGCCCTCACCCTGGGCGCAGCCGCCACAGTGTGAAGGGGCGGGTCTGGTGAGGCCACAGTCCCCTGGCTTGACGCCGACCTCGTGAGCCCTGGAGCCTGAGGCCTTGGGTGAGTGACACCGACTACTGACCCTCAGAAGCCACGGGATTGCAACAAGCTTAAAGCAAGGAAGTCTTGGGCGTAATTCGTAATGTGGCCACAGGTAACTAACACATGCAGGAATTCTGAGACAAGCTGGTGGAGCTGCCAGGTGGAGTTAGCAAGATCCCACGATACTAGGTCAATACACAAGACGCAGTTTCACTTCTGCCTGCTACTAGTCAATCATTAGAAAACAGAATGTTTAAATCTGTTTAAATTAGCACCAAAAGTAAAATAGATGAGGATAAGTTTAACTAAATTTGTGCAAGACCTGCACATAGATGACGGAGAGATGGACTGTGTGGGTCAGAAGACTCAGTCCCATCAAGATGGAAATTCTTCCTGAATTGGTTTATAGAGTTAACACAGTCCTAATCAAAATGCCAGCAGCCTTTTTTGGTAAAAATGCTTGAAGCCTGGCCTCAGTTTTTTGAAAGGAAAGGAGAAACTGGAGGACTTACACAAAGTGATGTGAAGACTTCCTGTAGGAACTTCCCTGGGGGTCCAGTGGCTCGGACTCCGCACTCCCCAGGCCGGGGGCCTGGCTGGGATCCCTGGTCAGGGACCTGATCCCACACGCTGCAACAAAGGTCCCCGCGGGCCAACAGACCTGGCACAGCCAACTACATAAATAAACATTTTTAAAAAGACTTACCTGTAAAACTGCAGTAAGACAGCTGAACCGACAGGCAGCAGGACAGAGCAGAGTCCAGAAGTGGGCGTGGAGACACGTGGTCTGTTTCTTTCTGACATCAGGGCTTGTTGACGGGGGAAGGAACATCTTTTCCAAAACTGGTGCCGAGGACTTTCCTGACGGTGCTCTGGATAAGGATCGGCCTGCTGATGCGGGGACACAGGTTTGATCCCTGGCTCTGGAAGGCTCCGCATGCTGTGGAACAGCTAAGCCCTCGCTCCACAGCTGCTGAGCGGGTGCTGAAGAGCCCGAGAGCTGCTATGGAGGCCCGCAGACCCAGACAGACCTGCGCTCCATACGTAAGGAGAGGCCCCACTGCTGCGAGAAGCCCGGCACCGCAGGGAAGGGCAGCCCCCGCCGGCCGCAGCTAGAGAAATCCGCTGCACGGCAGCCAAGACCCAGCGCAGCCAAAAATAAGTGAATAAACTAGAAATTTAAACACGGTGCCGGGACCAGCGAGTCAGTGTTTGGAAAGAGAGGGACAACCCTGCTTCCTCGTAACACATCCCAGATTCACAGATGACAGGTCATGGCTCAACATGAAAGCCAAGGCTACGAGTCCTGAAGACCCAGGACGGCTGCTCTGGGACTCAGGGGCTGTTTAGAGACTAATCCGCAGTGACTAGTCTGTGGTCAGGGGTCCGTTTCTGGAGCTCCCTGGGGGTGATTAGAACCCAGGGGATCCGCAAGACACGTGCAAGCCTGGCCTTCCTTTGGCCCCTTTTCCTGCCCCCATCTCTAAGGCAGTCATTACAAACTGATTCCTTTCCGCTCGCTGGAACCACGTGGCCCAGAATTCAGAGGCTGCGGGACGGGGACGTTTGTGTCTGCCTGGCCTTGCTGGCCCATCCTCCCTGCCAAGGTCCCGGCTCTCCTGGGTCTGTCTCAAGGATTTCCTTCAGCCCACTGTCCAGGGCAGCAGTCAGCGTGACGGTCTCTCACCCTGTTCTGTCCTGAGGCTGACTGTGCCTGGCTCTGCGTCTGAGCACGGAGACACCACCCTGGAAGTGCTCTCCCAGGAGGGGAGGTGGCCCCGCGGAGATGACCCCACCCTTCAGCGCCCAAACACGAGGAAGGGACGGTGAGACGGGTGCCCCCGCAGCCAGACACAGAGGGAGGCGCCGTGGAGGGGCCAGGACTCCAGGGAGCCCAGACGGCGGGCTGGGGTTGGGGCAGAGAGACCCCCGCCCTCCCCAGCGGCTCGGGGTCAGCCCAGCCTCTCGCCCTCCCCACCCACCAGCCCGTCTCCCACCCCTCATCTGTCCTTCCTGTGTCATGGACCACGTCAGCGCCTCATGAAAGCCACCTTGTTTTCCTGAAGTAAACTAGTGGCCACGTGACCTTGGTCATGGCGGTTATGTGGGATGGCCCTTCCTGCTGCAGTGAGACCCACGGGACCCGCCCTGAGCCCCTCTGCTCTGTCCGGGAACAACAAGCTGCTCCCACACACGGCGGGTCCTCCTTGGCTCCCGCCTCGCCCAGGAACTGTGCCTCCAGCACCACCAACGCCACCAAGACACAGTGAGTAGCACTGGTGAGTCAGTGTTCATGTCCCTCCCATGAGACCAGAGCTGGAGAAGGCCAAGCCAGGGTGGTCTGGGGGTCCACAGCCGTCAGAGACCCAGGCACCTCCGTCCTTCTGCTCCATGTCCTTGCACATGGCTTCCAGCTTCGTGGCTCAAAACAGCTGCCAGAGTCCCAACCATCACATCTGTGTTCAAGAAGCAGGGAAAAAAAGAAATGCAAAGGACAGGGAAGTGTTTTTCCCGGGTGTTTTTTAGTCGCTTAGTCGTGTCCGACTCTCTGTGACCCCATCAACTGCAGTACGCCAGGCTCCCCTGTCCTTCACTATGTTCCCAAGTTTCCTCAAACTCATGCCCATTGAGTCAGCGATGTCATCCAACCATCTCATCCTCTGTCGCCCCCTTCTCCTCCTGCCCTCCATCTTTCCCAGCTGAGTCAGCCACTTGTAAGGAGCCTTCCAGAAGCCCTGTCCAGCACTTCTTCTCACACTCCCTCAGGAGGTCTCCACTGTACAGTCACACACAGCTGCAAGGAACTTCGGGGGTCTAGGGAAGATGTCTGGCTTGGCCGGGACAAGTGTGAGTGCAGCAGCTTGGGATGGGAGCCCTTGGGGGCAAGTCTGCCCCCACCCAGCAGAGCGAGAGGACAGGACCTGGGATGAGCCCCCCAGAGCCCTGCCCAGGAACACAGACGAGCACCTGCTCCTGCCTGCCGGACTTGGGTGGACCCCAGGCCCTCCTCCTGGTGGTCCCGAGGCCCCACCTCTGAAGTTCCAGGACCCCAGCAGGGTCTTCAGGGACCAGCAGGATCCACAAATGGGGGCACACAGCTAGCCTCGACAGTGTCTGTCACCAAGACCGGGGGCAAGGGCCTGCCGACCCCCTGCAGTCGCTCAGGACATGACAGCCTCGGGCCTCTCTGTCCAGCACTCGTGATGGGCAAAGCTCAAGCCCGGATGCCTGGGCTGGAGGCCGATCTGTCCAGAGAAGCCCTTCAGTGGGGCTCCTCGGCCCCCAGCCCTGCCCTGCTTCCCGAACACTGGACCACTGGGCAGCCTCACAGATCCCGTCCACACAGGCTCAGCTTCACTCTGGTCCAGCCCGGACACCAGCAGTAGGGGTCTCCATGGAGGGTCCCCAGGAGCCCTCACCCAGGCCTGGGGTCAGCAGGCAGCACCCCCAGAGCGCCCAGGAAAGGGGGCCAGTCAGAGCCCATCCCCCCCACCCACCTCACAGGTCAGCAGGAGCCCCCCTCAGGGCGCAGCCAGAGAGGACAGGGCCCCTGGCCCCAAGCCAGAGTGGAGGCCCCATGTCCTCCCCTGGAACCAACGGGGAGGCTGAGCACAGAGGTGAGCTGCCACGGCCTCGCAGCTGGACGGCCTCCCGCAACAACCCGGCCGCCCTGAGACGCGTGGACTGAGCAAGTCCAGCTCGCGGAACCACGGTGCCCGGGGCGGGGACGCTCGCCCGCAGGCAGCTCCATGGACCTCCGAGCTCGGAGCCCAGCGCTGGTCAGCGCTTTCCGGGGCCTGGGCCCCCGCCCCACTTTGAGGGGCGGCCAGGCGCCTGGGCGGGCGGGCGGGTGTCCATCTCCCTCCGGGGATCACAGCTGTGAGGCTGGTGGCCACGCTCTCCCGAACACATGGCCTTCGGTCCGACACTTTTCAGGGGTCCGCTTGCTGCCCACCTTCCCCCACAAGGCGCCCAAGGCCCGCCGGCCCCTCCCGCGGCGGGCGGCGGCTGCGCCGGTGACCTTGTGATAACCCGAGTGCCATCCGTCAGCGGCCGGCCGCCAGGCTCCGGAACACTGCGGCAGCTCATCTGAATTCAAATTACCCTGGGAGACGCGCGGTGCCAGCCATAACTCAGCGCGGCGGGGGGAGCGCGGCCGCAGATCGGACATTACCATACATTCCTGGGGCGTCGGACAGGGCTGCTAATGAAAATATCAATCAAAAACTCGGCTGACTTAATGGTCAATTTAAATTAATTAATTGGGGAGGAGAAAAAAGTCGAGGGGGCAGTGCTGACGGGCCCATCTCCAGCGGGCGGCGAGAAGCCTGGTGCCCAGTGGGACGCAGCCCCCAGCCCAGGAGACAGGCATCCTCTCCTGGGACCCCCAGGATCCTGGAGCACCTCTGCCAGGTGCAAGGCCTGGCCTCTCCGCCGCGGGCCGCCTGTCCCACCGTCCGGATTGCCTGCCCACAGGGACAGCAGGCCGCCTCCTGCCAGAGGCCCCCCAACCCAGAAGCCGAGATGCGACTTTGCCCAGCGGGACGGGGCGGGGCTGGTGGAGGGCAGGCGGGAGAGCCACCCACAGCTCAGGTCAGCTCGCCCCCGGATGCCAGGCCCCATCCTCCCATCCGAGAAAGCGGGTGGGGGCGACCACTGCCCCCGGGCCCCTCGGGAGGGTCAGGGAATTGTCTTCGAGGCGCAGAGAGAGAGGGCAGGCCCCAGTGTGTGGCCCACCACGCTCAGATGGCAAAGCCTCCGGGGACGTGAGACCGTCCCGCGTCCCTCTCAGCCAAGTGACCATGGGAAAGGCTTCCGAGGCCCCAGGCGACAAGACAGCAGGGCTCAAGGGACCCAGAGGGACCTGCTGCCCAGCTGGGGACCGGAGCTCGACAGTCAGACCCTAAGGCCCAGGGGGCACCTGCAGAGCAGTCAGCTGCCCCAGGGGGTGGGAGGGCCAGGGGAGCGGGGTCCCAGGCAGGACCCTCAGGGAGACACCCACCGCAGACCCCACAGATGACGGGCCTTCTGCATCCTCAGGAGCAGTAACATAGCCCTCCAGAGAGGTCACGGTGACAAAACCAGGCTGGCCCCCCTGCAGGCCGCCTGCAGATCTCGCCACTGCAAGGCTGGCCCTGGGGGTTGTTCCCAGACGCCAGGGAGGATCCACCCAGTGCCCTTCCTGCAGGAGCGTCTCGCCCGCGGCCAAGAGGCACGCAGCGTCCAGGGTCTCAGTTCGTGTGGTCAGGGCCAGGGCTCCCCGGGGCAACACGAGGATCGAGAGGAGGCGGGAAGCTGGAGCTGGGGACCGGGCTCTGCCCCCCAGGTCATGGTCCCGCAGTGAAAGCCCTCTGGGTGCCCTTCCCCCCAAGACTCAGGGCGAGGCACCCACCGGCCTGACCGGTGGTCGTGAGGGGCGCCGTGTGCTGGGGCCTGTGTGGTCTATGCTGGACCCAGAGGGAGACACTCATCCCCAGGCCTGGGTTTTGGGCCATTCCTCACGCAGCAGCAGCACAACGGAAAGCTGACCGACACGCAGGGCAGGGAGGGCCGAGGCCAGCCGGGGGAAGGCTCGGGAGACCCTGCACGGACCCGGTGGGGATGGGGAGCGCCGCCCAGGAGGGCTGACGAGGCCTCAGGGCGGCTGAGGCGGGGTCCCTGAACCCGGTAATGCCGACGTGAGCAGAGACACGCCCTCGGCCTCTCCCTCACCCCATGGGGCTCAGGCCCTGCCCCAGCCTCGGGGTGACAGGCGCCACAGGGCAGGGGCCGCCTGCCGCTGAGTTAGGGCTGAGGTCCGGCCTGGTGCAGAGCCGGGAGGGGCAGGAGAACGGGAGGAAACTGGTAACCGGACCCCGGCCCCGACTCAGCCTACAGGAGGCTGGCGGTCGGGGCAGCAGGACCCCAGGGCAGCCAGGAGGGGGTCGCACCTCCTGGAGGCTGGACGAGGGTCTGAGCTCTGTGGGGTGAGGTGAATCTCTGCTCACGTCAGCATTACGGGGTTCAGGGAACCCCCTCGGCTCCTGGCGCCACGTTCAGGTGACCTCTCAGGAGGGGGTGGGAGCGTCAGGGTGAGACGTAAGGACGGCCGGGTGAGCATGTCGGGCGGGGCGTCAGGGAGCGGGGGGGCTGGGCTGGGCTTCGGGTGCCGGTGGGGTTTGGGGGCAGCACTGGGCACTACGGCAGCTCCGGGGAGGCCGGGACAGTCTCCCCCACCCGGCCCCCCGCCAAGGGAAGGGCCCGCTGCCTCCCCCGGGTCTGATGCGGGAGGGAGGCCTCCCGTCCCCCACGGGCAGGGAGGGTGAGGGCCACGTCTGCCCGTGGACTGTCGGGCCCAAGACCCTGAGAGGGTCCTGCTACCCGACTGCTGCCTCTTGCCTCACCAGGCCTCCGGCCAGCCCCTAGCTGTGGAGTCGCCCAGCCCGCCCTGTGCTCCCAGCCACCCAGGTCCCCACAGGCCACGTCCTGAGACCACAGGGCCATCCTGGCCCAGCAGGCGGAGGGGACACCGCTTCCACCTTCGAGCCCAGGGCCCTGCCGAGGCCTCAACAGCTGCTTAGCTGGCGGCACTGCCCTTGACCAGCTCCCGCCATCGGCGACAGCTGGTTCCAGGGAAACCCCAGGACACACACATGCCAGCGTCCCTTCTCCAGTAACCGAAGGATCGAGGCTCCAGGGGCCCAGACTGAGGACACTGCAGGGCCCACCCGGCCTCCCCTCACCCCCATCGGGCCTGGGTCCCCTCCTACGTATCCTCCTAACACATGTGCCAAACTCACTGATCAGACAGGGCCAGTGTCCAGGCTGAGCCAGGGGCTGGGAGGGGCCCCCGAGGCTGGCGTTGGGGAGGGTGGGCCAGGCAGAGGGGGCGTGGGGGAGGGGCCAGGCAGAGGGAGCATGGGGTGGGGGGGAGCCAGGCGAAGCGGCCCTAGGCCCTCACCCCCAACGCTGGCCAGTAGAGTAGCTGCTCCCAGAATCTCCACTTGGCAGAGCGGCTCCTCCCAAGTTCAAGCAGCAGTTCGGTGGGAGCCTGGGTTTTGAACCTCAATTTCCCCGGCCCTTCTGGGAGTCCACTCAGCATGCAGTGACCCCTGAGTGTTAGGGCTGCATGAGTCCCATGGCCTTAGGCAAGCCCCTCACTCTGGACTCGGAGTCGCGTCTGTGAAGTGCACTGTCCAGTGACCAGGCCTGGATTCAGTAAGCCCAGAGGCCACACCCACAGCCACTGGGGCCACACCCACAGCACACCTGGGCCACACCCACAGACCAGCCGGCCACACCCACAGCCCACTTGGCCCCACACAGAGCCCACCTGGCCACACCCACACCCCACCTGGCCACACTCACGACTCAGCCTGCCCCGCCCCACCCGGGGCTCCTGCTCCCCTGACAAGCCCCTAGACAGCTGGGCCTCCCTGGGGTTGGGCATCCCATCCTGTCTACACCCCCAGGGTGACCAGCACTCCAGGAAGTGGCACTGATGCCCTCCCTAGACCCAGCCATCTTTAGGAAGGAGAAAGAGGCTCAGAAGCCTTGAAGGCACTGAAGTGGTTGAGCCTGATGGGAGACACCATCGCCGCCACACTCGGGCTCCAGGGTCTGCCCTCACCCACCCACCCCCGAGCTCCAGACCCCTGCAGGCCTGCCCACCCGCCACGAGGCAGGCCAAGGGCTCAGCCACTGCCTGGGCGATCTTTGCTGCCACCCAGTGGCTGTCAGGGGCAGCGCAGGTGGAGCCATAGGCCGCCGCAGGAAAACCCAGCCGCAGGGCGCGTGACCAAGGACTTCCAGGAACCAACCGGCATCCTGGACCGTGCGCCCCGGAGGCCCAGCCAGAGGGAGCCAGAGGCAGCTGGGAGCCAAGGGGCACACGCAGCTGCTTCCCGGGCCCCGGGCCCCTGCCAACGCTCTCAGGAGAATGAGTTTTGTCCATGTTGGGACACTCGGCCCAGAACCCGTCCCCCCGCCTCCCCGGGGGTCTCTTTCTTTCCCTGGGAAGGCCCTGCTGTAAGATTCCGTTTCCCTGAAAAGTCCAGAAGGGGCAAACCACAGAACCAGAGCAGGCTGAAGTGGCGATGGCCAAGCACAGGGGTTTCTCTAGGGTCACAGGGTGGAATGTCTGGGAAGGGGTTGGAGGCTGTGTCTGCACAGTCCCGTCCGGGCACAGACTGTCGCTTTGAAATGGTTAACTTCATGTAACATGCATTTCATCTCAAAAACAAGTTTTAAAAAGACAATTAGATAGCTTGAATGTATAATAATGTATGCGATTAACACCCAAATCAATAAATCCCATATGCTAAGAGTAAAAAGATGTCTCCAATAAATTGTGTAAGACTTTTAAGATAATAATGTCAGAGGGGTAAGACTTCTGTCCTGTGGCTGTCATGTCCGCCCGGCCTTGGCTCCTCACCTGTGCCCGCCGTGTGCCCACCCACTGTGCCTGCCCAGGCTCCCCGCAGCCTCTCCCCAGGGAGGTCCTGGCTGTGCAGGACCCCCCACCCGGCGCTGCCTCAGCAAGGGTCTGCATCACCCCGCCTCCCAGGGGTGCCTGTGCCCTGGGTCTTGCCTGGGACTGGCAGGGCCTGCGTTTAGCCCGGGCACCACAAACACTCTCCCTGATACAGTCTGTGCAGTGCCGTGGGCCTCATTTGTCA